AAACACTTTTATTCATGTTATGAACTATATTTACGTCATATTAGACTATTGTTTAAGCAAAAGTAAGAAAACGAAAATGCCTTTAGTGTAAAGATAACCTCTTAAAACGATTTCCAACTTGTTTTCAATTTTACTAATCCAAACAAGCAGCTGTTTAGTAAATGATTCAATCATTTCGCCATTAGTCTAAATATTAATACTTACTACCGATACGTCGATCTATGATGTAACAAATAATGTATCAATTAAGTTACAACCAAATTACACAATCGGTACTTACTTTCAATATTATGACGAAAAGCTGCATCTGAAAAGTGCAGCTTTAACATAGGGACGATAGAATATTTACGAGACGGTTTATCTGTAGCCTGAATTTTGGCTTGCATTTATACTGTATCATATAAATGTAATTTTTAAAACATTCAATAAACCAACACCAATAAAAAGATTTCTTTTAGCTATCTTTCAACTACGTTCACAATATTATGTTCAATAAATTTTGAATACAAATAAATAAACGCACGACCGTTTTGCTAAGTCAATTACTAATCTAACTCAATACTTCATTCAAAAATACAATAGGGATTCCATATAACTGGTAAGTATATTTATTTAACAAATACTTATTCAAACAAAAAATTTTTACAAATAAAGTGGTTTAAATACCTGCATAAAAGTTATCCAAAATGTTGCTCGCGGCAACCGGTTTCAATCCACAGTAGGGATCTTCATCAGGTCGATCAGGATGTCAAAACATGTCTAGACTATACCTTCGCCGGGGATGAGTCGTCGCAATAGTTTCGGCCGTGTCTTTAGTGGTAAATGTCCGTGTTTCGTGTTTGTGACTATGTGTGCATGTTTTTTACGCCTTTTGACGACCTTCGCAAGAATATAAAAAATGTTTTGACATCCTGTTCGGCCTGATGAAGATCCCTATTGTGGATTGGGACCGGTTGCCGTGAGCAACATTTTGGATAACTTTTATGCAGGTATTTAATCCACTTTATTGAAATATTGGTTATCCGGAGGCTAAATCACGATGAAAAAAGTTTAGAAATAATTTATTAGCTAAACATAGTTTGAGATTTTCTATTAGAAAGATATTTTATATAAGTGTACCGTCTTATGGTGTTTATGATAAGGTTTATCGTAAAGTTGCCTAGTTGTAGAACCAGTGTCATTTCTCCCGCAGTCCTTTCACCCACAATCTCGGAGGCAGTGGCAGCCGTACCAAGCGCGAGCGGCGACGAGATGCCGATGGCAGTGGCGCGGCTCATGACTGTGAAAGTGGAGGAAATGTGAGGAAGAAAGCGCCAAGGGTCAGTGAGAGGATAGGGTGTCATCATCTTCAGACATTTCACAAACAGACAACTGGAAGTCCTAGAACCGATAACTGTAAAGTCATTACAAAAAATGGGATTCATTTACTAAACAACAATTTGTTGATTGTTGTTACTGATTGGTCTTCAAACCCCGTAGTCGTTTGGTATTGTAGAATACAGTAGTGCGGTTTCTGTGTGTCCCGGGTGAACGAAAAATAGAGAATCCTTAAGTTAAAATTGTGTACAAATAATGTAGATCATTGACCCGGTCAACACATGGTGGAATAAAACCATTCCCCTCAAATTCCCTTGGGAGTCAAAACATAAATCAGCTGCACCATCTATATAAATAAAATTACAGTTTTGTCTGTACATTGCTTAGAATCATGCAGTTTTTGGTTATTTTTACGTTTCATAGCCTAAGAAAGCCGAAACGAGTCTTATCTCAATTTCTGTCTGTATGTCTGTCTGCCCATTCTGTGACTCCGTCTGTAACGCCAATATGTCATTTTACGCGGCCTATTCCTAGAAAACTAGAGTACCGATCAAGGTTCTAATCATTTTTCTGTATTTACTGAATTGGTGAGAGTGTCTTTGGCTATAAAAACATGACTTCACTTCTTTGAAAACAAAATAACAAACCACCAAAAACCCAATTTCGTTCGATTTTTGTCAAATTTTCTCCCAATGTTTACTATTATATTTGATGAAATAACGATCAGCTGTTTGGATTAGTTCTCACTTCTAGCTGTCACTGATATTTTTACATTCAAAGTTGTTTACAAATATCGCAACCATTTCCGATCAAGTTTTGTCAGCACATCCAAACCAAGTGAGATTAAAAACGTTGTGCCTTACTTAACCGGTTTAATTAATCGCAAGTGCAACGATTGTTCTTGAGTGATAACCGGGGAAAATGCCGTGAATCAGTGTTGTATTAGTACAAGGAAACTTACATTTTTCAATCATCGTCACCAATACCGTAGCTTACAAAGGTTTCCACTCATTGACGGCGCTTCAAGGACAGTTGTGTTACAGTTGTGTTAAGTGCAAATAAAAGTAAAAAATCACAACTGCAGTGGGTGATCGTGGATGTTGCTGCGATCTTGGAAGATCTTTCTGATTTCGCTGTGATCGTACCGTAACAGAGGTTTAACTTAACAGATGTAGCTAAACTCGCTTATCCAATGTGTCACTTTTGGTTTCTACTTACTTACATTTCGACAACGATATCGGTAATTTTCCTACTTAGGAAATAAAACTACAAACGTACAAAACCCCGGATTTGTGCGTTTTTTGTCACATTTCCTCCAAATGTTTGCTAGATATATGTACCGATTATCGTTTTGAGATTACGTAATCTTTTAAATAAGAAACCTTTGTTTGGATAAAGGTGGTTTCTTCAAACTGTCATTAATATGTTAACATCTTTTCTCAAATGTAAACGTTGGTTTTTGATACTGCTACTTTTCTTTAGAACCGGTGGTAGCAGTAAGAATCATTTTTACATACAAACACATCACTATTTTCAATATTTATTTATAAACACTGCACCTTATTGCTTATTAAATTTAATTGATGTCTTACTGTATAATTTTTAGCGTTTTCTGTCTGGACTCCAAAATGTTGTGTGGACTCAATTCTGTATTTGTGTGTGTATGTCTATTGGTAACGCATTAATGTCCTTATTTTTCGTGGAAAAGACAAGAGCACCATTGTTAATAAAAATTTCAACCCGAATAAAGTGTGCAGTAGTGAGGTTGAGGTAGTAAAACTACTTTTAACCAGTGTGAAAAGTAACTTTCAATTACAGGCCTACCTTAGGGCTATGCCTCATAGATATATACTGTAAAGCAATTTCTTTCATCGTTAGATATAAAATATGGACTAACACGATCGGGTGACATTTAATTGCGAAGCATTCATTTTGGCTTTGAAACTGTCAGATATTGTATTTGAGAAGGTTTATATGTATTCCTAAACGATTATAGTTTTGCCATCATATCTGGAAAAATGCACACTAAATATGCAAACCAACTCCTGTTCTGAATATAAGGTTTTAACTTACTACAAGATTCCCGTACGTAGAACGGGCAAACATCTAGTTATATAATAAGCAAAAGAAATTATTGAGGGAACTTCCACCCAAACCACCTCAATTTTTAAACAGAGTTTTTTTTTATCATCACAACGAAAACAACAAACGTAATATTATATGCATGCGTTTCATTTAAATTTACTTTTCGTGATCATGCCCATATACCTGATCGATTCCAACCAAAGGCGATTTTAATATTTAAAAAAGCCCAATAAGTTTTGATTCTCGAATCAATGGTGGGTGTGTTACTGCTTTAAAGAATGAAGTTAAATTCCCGCACCCTCGTCTGGAGCACGGTGGATCTACTATGTAAGCGCTTATTTTACCTGTAGTATGTCAAGCTTATTCCGATAAGTATCTTTAAACTAGGTTTGTTACAAGCCCTTTAAAATTTTATCCGATTTGGTTTCCTTGTGATAAATTCAAAATCGGAATAGTATATTTCGTACCTAGGGCCGAAAATGAGGTTTTTCCGGTTCGAGATAGTCGAGAACTTAAAACGATCGAGAGCTGCAAATTCATTTCTGTCCGTGGTACGAACGCTATTTTTCACCACATTATACCCTATTACCACTATTCCCCACAATAATAATGCACACTGATAGTCAACACAACTACAACTTTAAGGTTATGTGAAGAAATAATTTGAGGAATCAGCAAAAATAATAGTAAATAGTTGCTAGGCAACGGTGACAATAAAATAATTCTATTGCAATGCTATGGATACTGATTGTGTATTTAATATGCCTTCATGTTTTACGTAGCGGGCAGCTGATTTTGCGGCCCTAGGGATGTAAAAACCTGCTCGGTCCCCAAATAACGATGACAGCTGGCATGGCCAGCAAAACGCAGCTTTCAGCCACCAATTAACGTATGTAAAACAGCTAAAAACATCATAGTGTGGTGAAAATTCACTTGCATGATAATAGGTCATTAAGAACGAAACTTCAATAGTCTGACAATGATACGAAACTGGCCACACGATAGAATGCAGGTAAATAATCCATTTGACATATAACGGAGAGCTTTAAGTACACGGGGTTTAAACAAATTTATGACACCACGACTAAGACGAAGTAGTTCAGTTTTCAGGATCAACTTCGTAAATGAAGAGCAAGATATGAATTAAATTATAGTTTTTTTAATGATTGAAAGTATTTTTTGCTCAAGATCATTAGTTCCAAAATGGTATGTTAAAAATAGGTTGGAGAATGAGAAAGCTTTTCATCTAAATTCTGTCCGAAAACTTGTCTACAAGTTGATTTGCTATATAGTGGGCCTGGACATGCAATTAAATGATCGACCTACAATGTTTTTTTATTATTTGGAAACCAATTACAGTAATACAAATTTTCAAGTAATACTAATAGGCATTTTTACGCGATAAAATGCAAATACACAGACATTTGATTTTTATACATTAAGAGGACATCCTACAGGATGAATACTATCAACAATCAAATCAACCTAGAAGAGAGTTTACCGGATGGTGGTAAAAAACGTAACACATCCAGCAAGGTTAATTAAGGTTGTCACGCAAATGTGACCTTTATTTCCACAAATGTGTGATATGATGAAGGTCGATTTTGGTATATAACTAGCCCCTGTGACAATATGTCCATTATAGTACAGTACTTCGACAATATGTACAACGTAATTTTGTTCGCGACGACTTTGCTGTTTGCTGTTGCTTTGGTAAGACTTTTTTATTAGTACGCTGTTATTTATTACTACTAGAGTTAACTGCTTTATTGGAATTCTTTCCAGTAGCTGTCGATACGCACATGTTTTAGTACCTACTTCACACTTTTCATCCAATCTTGAAGACGGAATAAGGAAAAATGAAAAAAATACCTCTAGAGATTGATACAGCTTTAATAAATTAATTTCTGAAACTTAATTTCAACCTTAAATTTAAACACAATACTTTTCTTGATTTCTTCAGGATTACTGACATAAGTAAATGAGTGTAAAGTTAGGCATATGTATTGAATATAACTTTATATTTAAAAAATATGTTGAGCTAGATGGGATTTATTCCGTAGATATATTCAATATGAAATATTAAGTTAAGGCCTAAACATGACAATATTTTGGTCTAAAACATTTGTTTGTTCATGTCGCTTATAAAATACTAAGCTTTTTAGGCACATCGTAAGGTTATATTTAAAGAAATAATTCGATCAAAATCGACATATATTTCAAATCTTAATAAGACTTTTAATGATTTTGTTTATAACTATTGTTATTAGAAATATTGGATTTCATAAAAAGAAATAAATAGCTTTCAATTACTAACTAAATATTTCATATAAGAATAACTATTTTCATATAATCCCTATTCCAATGAAAACACATAAGAAGAAATTAGGGCTGTAGCGTAAACTCTTACCTAAAACATTAAAAAACCCAGTTGCAAAAAGATCATATTTTTTTACCTTTTTCCAATTGTAAAACTAAAGTGTTATTCGAAGTGCCTGCGGTAAAAGATGCAGGTTGTGTATACAGTAAGCAACACATACAGTATTCCTTTTACGTAGGCACACCACAATTCTCTATAGAGTAATCTTGAGATCAGAATGTTTTTTTGTTTTTTTTTACAGTTAAATCGTTATTAATTTACTAATAAAAGTAGCAAACCTAAATACTTAGTAGCAAAATAATACTATACACTAATAACAATTATTTTTAAGGCAAAATTAATTCATTTAGAGCATGTGATGAATCTTATTAACTCCCAATCGTGATTTGTATTGTTTAATTTTTTGTGACTGCTCTAAAATGGTGGGTGATCAATCCTAATACCTTTTGTGGTAGAAATAATGATTTTGAAGTAAACTATCAATATTCTGCAGTACTCATTCTTGATAGGTAGGCCTACTGACATCTTACCTTACCTTACCTATTATGCCACTCAAACCTCTGAAGGTTTTTGGCCTCGCCAACAATGCCTCGCCATCTCTCTCTGTCTTACATCCATTGATGCTCTGCCTCCAATCTTCTCAAGTCCTTTTCCACTTGGGCCTTCCAGCGAAGTCGTGGTCGTCCCAACGGCCGCTTTCCTCTTGGTAGTCCTTCATTTATCGCTTTAATGTTGCATTTTGTTCTCTTCTTGTAATATGGCCTGCCTACCTGAGTCTTCTGCTTTTGATTTGGGCTATTATGTCCGGGTCTTTGCTTAGCTCTCGAAGCTCTTTATTAGTGTGTATTCTCCATATTCCATCTTCATTTATGGGACCATAGATGCACCTTAAAATTTTGTTTTCAAACACCATAAGCTTTTTTCAGCCTGTTTTGACATTGTCCATAATTCTGACCCATACAATACTACAGGTTGTATGATGGTTTTATAGACCCGTAACTTGGTCTTTCTTGAGAGTAGTTTGCTTTTTAAAAGCCCTTGTAAAGCCCAATAACATCTGTTGGCATTTATTATTCTTGTGTTGCTTTCAGCCATTTCTTGGTTGGCTTGATCAATAGCCACTCCTATATATTTGAATTCTGTCACTCTTTCAAATGTGAGGTCACTTTTAGCACAAGTGTCATTACAACTTTATTGACAAGACCTTCCACTTTATTACTGTTCTAAATTGTATTCAACTCGTCATTTTCCAGACCACCGCAGCAGCTGAGTACCCATGGCAGTCACAAGAGGGCAAACACTTGGTACACGACCAAGTAGAAGGCTGGAACCCAGAGACAGTAGCAGTAGGCATGCAAGATCTTCCCAGGAACGTAGTACATGACAGGGTGCGTAGACAGATGCCCCCGATGCCAGAGGTACCTTCCCCGCCCCAGGGGATGCCAGCCCCGCCTCAGCCCCCACAGGGAATGCCGTCCCCGCCTGGAATGCCTTCATAGAGATCACAATGTAGGCTACTAGTAGTTGATAGGCATAATACAATCAAAACTATCTCTTCTTGTTAAAATTGTTGTGAAGAGCTGAAAATCAAATAAATTGTAAATCAAATCTAAATCTCGTTTTACTTGTCATGGATGTGTTGAATATGTGATGGAAATCGAAAAAAGACGAAGAAAATTATATATGTAAAAATATGTGTGTTCAGACACTTATAATTACTATATTATTGAAAACATGCAAACAATCGGTAAATGCGAGTGGGGTAGAGCGGTGTACTTGCTATACGTGATTGTCGAGTATAGAAACAATGTTTGCACAGTACAGTAAATCATGTACAGTGAGAAATCCAGTTATAGTTATTATGTTTGTACAGAGTGTTTTTTACGCAACCCATCAAATTAAAAGTACTGTGAGACAAATTTTAATGAAAAAAAAACAACCTTAGAATTTTGGTATCCCCGTTTTCTTTACTTTATTGCCGACAGTTAATGCGTTGTTGCACAGTTGTCTAGCCTGTTTTCAATGTATTTCTTATTCACACCATGTTTAGTTTATTTTTCACCATAAATCACAAGAAAAACAAACTTTCATAATTATTTGCAAATCTACACGAATTTTGCTTTCCAACGACCCTTTAAATAATAAAATCGGTCCAGTAGAACTTAACATTTAGCTGTACACAGATTTTTAAAACTAAATTATATTATAAGAAGATTATAGTTTCAATATAGCAGATAATTTTCCATCATATTGGTCCAAAATTATATTAAATTCAAATTGAGGTTAAAAATCACTGTCATATTTTATTTTCCAGGCTTTAACAGTTCCATGATTCTATGATTTACAAATTCCAAAATGTTGTTAATCTCAACCCAGAGACTGTTGACTTTCAACAAAATATTGACCATTTTACAAGCTATGTTGCTTGTATTGTACATAGCTACGTCGCTATGTTGCACTTATTACCGTTTAATTTATACATAGTTAGTTCGCGATGTAATTTACAACAAAAATATGTGTACCTTGGCAGTTTAACCTGACAAATTGCCGTTAACAACATAAACGATTAAATGTGTGGATTATAGCTCACTTGAAAATATAATGTTTTAAAACTTTATCAAACGGTTATTTTTAAAACTTTCGTTGTTCTTTCTATCTCGGATAAAAAGTAAGCAAGGGGTATGTCTACACTCCTTTATCTTCTAATGATTAATAACATTGTTTTTCAAATGTTAACTAAATAAAATGCAAAATACTTTCAAATGTAAAAGTGCACTATACGACAAAAAGAGATCAAAGAGATAAATACCTTGGTGGTGGATGTTCTTTGCTTTATGAAAGCAAACCCGAAGAAATTTTGAGAGCATTTACAAAAGCTATTTATTTTACAGCCTAAAGACCGCGTAGTAGGGCAAAACTAAAGGGCTAGCTGTGTTTTTCCAACCTTATTTTATATTCCGAACCATCGAAAACCTGTTATTTATAAGGACAGGCATTTAAGACTGTTATTATGACCACGGAGAACTGATCCCTAAAGTATGAGCCTTTTAGAACACAAGAGATAAGGGATGTCTAGGTAATTATTTAATAAGTAAATAATAGCTTGAATATGTAAATGTTTAAACCTATGGTGGAATTTCTTAAGAGATGAATTACAATTTAATTACTCTTATTTAGTAATCTGTCTAAAATATTCCGATTACCAAATAAATCGGGACCTAACCTAAAGCAATGCGATTTATTTTCAATAAATTTTGATATTCTCCTACTTTTGACCGAGTATGTTGCTTAACTATACGGTGTGAAGTGATGTTAACACATTATGTCGATAAGAATGCTAACTGTTAAAACAACAGCAAAATGTATAATATACTTTTCGTGTTATGGTTGTTTTTTTTTGACAAGCTTTGATCTTTTGATTTGTTTGTTTTAGCTAACATAGCTCAATCAAATAATTTGTATACAATGCGTATTACTACAGTGGCTATTTTTTCTGTCGTAGTACTTAAAAATATTAAAAGCTATAATCCAAGTGACAAGAACACAAACGATTGAGCGCCCGAGCCTCAGAACAATGGGCCAGGAGGCGTTAAGACGGGCGGGAAACGGACAGAGGAGCATCATGTTAATCTAATACCATGTTTTATAGTTTACTAGCCTAAACAAACTTTAAAGCAGAAATTTTAAGGAGCAACATAAGATTATGGTTTATTTTTGAAATTTCAGTGTAATTGTCAAGGATTGTAATAGAGTTCGTCACCGAGTGTATAGTCAACATTGGGATATCCACCAATCCATTTTTATACCCAGTATCTGGAGCTCCAACTGAATCTAACGATAGCTTTGCAACCCAATTATTGAAATATTAATACTTGATACTATTAATATTTTATAATTGCGGATTGGAAGGTCGTAATTTGTTGACATTCACAAATAAACTATCCACATGTGGCAGTTTAATCATGTATTAACGTAATTACGATCCACGAGAGTCTGCAGTTGAGGGAGGAGCCTATTTATTTACCACGTGACTTTGAAGGAGCCAATGAGGACCGCGCGTTGTTGCCAAATCTAATAATACCAGCTGATTTGAAAAAATTGTTTAGTATATTTTAACTAGTGTCAAAAATTAGTGAGCGGGTGATGTTGCAACGTCGCGCTAGTCCAGTCTTGCTATTGGCTGCCGCCTCTGCAGAGATGTGGCCCCTATTGCAGTTAATAACATGGTAAATTTGTTGTGACAGATGTTTCGACAGTATAAAACCGCTGTCCCATTCCACACCAGGAACATATGATTTCAAGATGAACGAGTTTTTACTGTTTTCATTGGTAAGTTGTCTTCGAAATATTGGAAGATTTGTTTAGTTTACTTATAAAACCTACGTCCTACCATGCGTTTTTTTTTTTATGCAAGCGTATTACCTTAAAGTGTTTAAAGTCTTAAAGTGTTATAACCTTAAAGGTTTACTGCCAACTTCTTTACCTATTTGCATAAAATGCTATAAAATACATTTATGTTTACATATAATTCGGTTATTTAAAAGTTTCCCATATTACATTTGAATCAATTACCTATTGGTCTGCTTGGACAATTATTATGGTTTGAAAAAAAGGAGATGGATTGACATATAGATAAAAAGAAAACATATGGTGAAAATTAAATTTTTCTATGGAAAATATCAGTTAAAATATTGAATTGTTACAATGTTTGTAATAAGTTAAGGGCATGGTTAGTATTTGAATATGTCTTCGGACAAGCCAAGAGTTTTGTATTTCGAAACAAGACTAATTAAACTAATAATTGACAAGACTAATTGACGCAACAGTTATTCAGTAATTTTCATCAGAAAACATGATACGGGTCCTTCCACCTTCTTCATGTTAATAGACGTGAAGAAGGTGTTTGGAAGAGTTTCCTGCTCACTACTTGCATGTAGGCTAAGTCCACCTTAGTTTGATGATGGGGCCAAGCATCAGAAACCTTGCAACACAAAAATCCACTGGGGTCTTATACATCTGTTGCGTGTAGGTTGTGTCTATTAAATAAGGATGTGTTTAGTTTGGCTTATTGAAATACATTTTCAGGTTTTCTTCTGCGTTGTACAATGCAAAACTTTGCTAATCGAAGCAATCGACCTCTCCAAATACCCGGACGATTTTGAGGCAGGTAAGTACCCTGGGTTCGTTTCTTTTGTCTGAGCCAAATTATTTGACTAAATCCGAATATGATACCAAACTAAAGTGTATGGAAATAATGTCTCAATTTACATCCTTTGAACTCTTTTCCAAACCACCTTTCACCCTTGACCCCCGTCATTTCATGACAGAGCCACAGATGATTCGCTGACATCACGTCCAGACCCACAGATCACAGCAGTCCTACTAGTAGTCACACCCAGGCGCCGCGCCGATACGAGTGGCTACTGAAGTCAACCGTCCCTGAGTGATCCCAATCGAGAGGGATTAGTGTTAAATGATGTGCAGTGAGTGCTCATTGTCTGTACATAAATCAATTTATTCATGCTGAATGTATTTAAGACCATTCGATATTCAGCTCAATTACTTATTTGAATCAATATTTTTTTTTCGATCAAACTCAGGATGTAAATTAATAGTGCATGGGATTATGTTTCAAATAGCCATTGCATTTTACTTTTAGCGAATTTCCCATAAAGGGAATACGCTATTACCGAAGTACTCATGGTAAGACCTGGACCCGGGATCGATTTACTTTTTCATTTTGAGGTCCCCAGAGGCCAAAAACACCATCCGTTCAAATTCATATGTATATATATATGTGTGTGTGTGTCCGTTAGCAAAAATCATCCGATTTTGATTAAATTTGGTACAAACGTGTAAACCTATGTTTATTCGAATGAGTTCGAAAACCAGCATGACCGGACAATGGGAACGGGGGGTTGTGGGGGTTTTTATGGGATAAAAATTGGTTCTTCCCATTTTGACCCAAAAACATAAAATTTAGCAAATTCTTTTCAAACCTTTTCGTAGAGCTTAATAAAACAAATAATTTAGTATATTACACCGTTATTATGCGCCTAATGGTCACAGAGAAAATTCATAAAAATGTTAAAATTCCCATGTTATTCTTATGGAGAATAAATAGAGTTATGTATTTTGCTTGTTTTTAGACATGTATTAGGAAAAAGGTTGTATAAATTTATAAGAAAGAGTTTGAAATACCTATTTCTATTATTTACCAGATCAGCAAATTGACAACTTTAAAACATAAAGCAGATCTCTCTTAAGTTGAAGATGGAATTTATATTTTTTTGTAAATTTCATATACTCATTTAATACCTTACATTCTTTTTATTTACTTGACTCGTATTAATATTTGAATTTTAATGTACTTTAAGAAATGTTATATCATCATCTTTTAAAATTTAATCTTTTATGAAATGTATAACTAAATTTAAATCTTCAACAAGGCCAATAATATATAATCATTTGTTTTTTTGTGACAGAATTTAATAGAATTTAAACACAAAATTTAACTTTCAGACTAATTAACCTACTTAAATCAAAATTAGGCAATCCTAAAGAAAACTCATTAAAATTTTGACATGTCTGGAATTTATAAATAAATT